TGGGGATTTGGTCCTCAAAAAAGTAATCCTCGCTACAAAAGATGCACGCGAAGGGAAGCTGGGACCAATTGGGAAGGGCCCTACCGCGTAACAGAAGTAGTGAGACCAGGCACCTACAAAATCCAAGATTCTGAGGGAAAAGTTTTACTCCATCCATGGAATGCAGAGCACTTGAAAAGGTATTACCAATGACACCTTGAGAGCATCAAAGCAGTAGAAGTTGGGACTTGATTTGATTTTTAGGGGTGTTACCCAAGATTTCAATATATTTTTTTTTTGGAATTATTACCCAATATCGCTTTTTATAAGCAATAAATTAATAAAATTTTCTATGCCATTTACTCCAAAAGATTTTCTGTATTTCATTTCAAAGGAGTATCGGTACAAAAATAAGGCCAGATACCGCCTTTTCAAAAATAAAAAAAAAAAAAATAATAAAAAAAAAATCAAAAGTCCTAAACACTCTAACTGCTCTCATGGTCGTCCCCCACCTCCTCCTCATTGTCATCAACAGCATCAGATCCCCCTCATCACTGTCGTCAGTGGGCACGAAAGGTGAGAAGTCAATATTAGGAAAGCGGTAGAAACTTTCCCTCGGAGATCCTCGAAACCATCAATAAAAGCATCTGCAAGACCATTCTCCAAGTCTTCCTCAGCACGGGAAACTCTCTCCCGAGCAGCCGTCAACTTTGCCTCTGCAACAGCTGCCTCTCTGAGCATGACCCTCCCATGGGCCTCTACAAGCTCAGCCTCTCTGAGCGTGCTCCTCTCGCGGACTGCCAAAAGCTCAGCCTCTAGCTTAGTGGCCCTCTCATGGGCTGCAACAAGCTCACCATCCCTGAGCGCGCTCCTCTCGTGGACTGCCAAAAGCTCAGCCTCTAGCTTAGTGGCCCTCTCATGGGCTGCAGCAAGCTCACCGTCCCTGAGCGCGTCCCTCTCGCGGGCCGCCAGAAGCTCGGACTCAAAATTAGAAAACCTTTCATGTGCTGCCACAAGTTCACCCTCCCGGAGCACGTCCCTCTCACGGGTCACCAAAAGCTCAGAATCAAGCTCGACAATCCTCTCCTGAGCAGTAATAAGCTCCCTCTGCACAAGGCTAAGATCCAGCTTCAGCTTGTCTTGATTATAGGCCCTCGAAAGCAAGCAGATGGAGGAAGTCGAAACCTAAAAAAAAAAAAAAAAGAGTCAAAAACACAGGAAACGACTGGAGAAAGGAAATAGCAGACCCTTACCTGAGCCAGACCTTCCAAATACGTGTTGACGATATTATCAGTGCCCGAAGCGCTAAGCTCAGAAACTTTTGGCCCAAACACAAACCTCCCAAGCCTTGCCCTGATAGCTGCTGGTCTCCCCATCATAGAACCAGCCCAAATCGGCACTTGGGTAGAAGTTCCTGAACAAGGAGGAGACAAAGGAGGGGTAGCACGAGGAGAGGATAAAGGTGGAACAGATGTGCCTGGCAAGGAAGATTCTGGAGCAGCAGCTGGAGAAGTTGCCAGTTGAGAAGGAGCCACCGTGGAAGCCACATGGGGGGCATCATCCGTCCTTGTCACTTTGGAAGAAGGAGGGCTCCTGCTAGAAAAACGGGACACCACCACCCTCTTACTTGCTGCAAGAGTAGAGAAGGGTTAGATAAAAAAAAAAAAAAGGAGAGGAAACTAGCTCACCCTTTTTCTTCGAAGAGGAGCTGCCAGATTTCTGAGATGGAGCTACAGCTCTAGTATACTTGGGCAGGAGAACTCCCAAATCTTTACAAGGGCAAGCTTTGACAGCCTCCAATTTCCACTCCTGGTCCCGGGAAAGCACAGGTATATCTGCATGGAAAAGTGAGCACACACACAAAAAAAAAAAAGGAAAAAGAAGAAGTGTGCAGCATACCGGGTTTTTTAGCAGCACCCCAATGTGTTGGCACCGAAACTCTGTCGGCTTCTGAAGCCCATTCTCCACCAATAAAGAAGAAACAAGATTTCAGCCGCCGCAATTAGAGCGCATTCCTGTAAGCACTGTACCACTCCGTGCGGTAAAATAGTACCATCCCCTATTTGGTGTAGGGGTTTCGCTCAAATTATATGCTGCATGAAACTCCATAGGGGAAGCATCCTCGTGGTGCACCTTTCTCCATAATACAAGAAAATCGAGCAGGACTCTCCAACCGTTGGGCGCTAGTCGCCCCGGAGTCAAGGAAAAGTAATGCAAAACACGACAAATGGGGGAGGACATGGGAAATCTTAACCCAGCCTCAAGCATCTCCTCGTAGACAACAATATCCCCGGAAGAGTCATCGCAAGCAAACTCGCCCAACTCAGCCCGACGGCACAACACGGTCGGAGGGATGCGATAAGTAAAAACAAGCCTTGAAATATCTTCATCTAAGCGGAACAAACTAGAAAGGGTGCTCACCTTAGACCCGTCATCATCAAGTCCCACTTTGCTCTTGCGTTTCTTCTTCCGGGGCCTTAAGGAGTAGTCCAAATCACCATTGGGAGAGTCTTGAGGAACTTGAATCGGGGGAGCTACAATAGGGGCTTGATCATCAAGGGCAGCACCCAAAGCTTCCTTACTACTTGCAATGTCTAGCCCAACGCCTGAAAGTGTGCCTGACTGTTGTTGCTCGTCAAAACAAAGTTGCCCAGTAGCTTGAAGGGTGCCTGGCCCTTCAAAATTGCGCAAAGCAGAATTTTCGGCGCAAAAATCAGCACCTAAGGCGCCCAAATCAGCGCCTCGAGTGGGAATCGGATCAGCCCGTGCTCCCAGGCCACTGCCTAGCTCTCCCTGATGAACCTTGGACTGATTTTCAACGCCCCTTGATGGAAAAATGCTGCTGCCCAGCGTTCCAAAGCCGCCCAGCGCAGCAGATCTGAAGCTGTCCGGGACAGCAGAAGCAGCAGCTAGGCTGCTGCCCAGCGCACCTGGGCTGTCCAGGACAGCAAGGCCAGCGCCCAGGCGCCCGGGGCTGTCCAGGACAGGAGGAGCAGAGCCTAGGCAGCCGCCCAGGCCCCCACCGCGCGCGCGCGCTGCCCAACCGCGCGCCTAGCGCGCCTTCGCTGCCCAATCGCGCGCCCAGCCGTCTCCCTTCGCTGCCCAAGCCACTCCTCGCGCTGCCCATCTCCCCTTCGCTGTCCAGCCCTTCATTTTCAGCCCCAAAGCTGTCCAAGACAGCATTCGAATGCTCAAAACTAGCCTCCAAGTTCTCCAAAATGGTGCCTACTTCCTCCCTTTCTTCAACCTCCACCACTCCCTCTTCAATCGACATTGTTCACTTGAGAAGCTCAACTAGCAAGGAAGAAATCACACTCTTGAAAGGATTCAAGGAGAACACTTTGGCTTCAACAAAATGGGAGGACTTGAGTTCTCAAGGTTTTCAAGAGGTGGGTGCTCAACCTTAAAAATGAGTGAAATGGGTAACATGAAGAAGAAGACTATATTTATAGTCTAGGGTTTTTCAAAAAGAGGAAAAAAGCCCAAATAGAAAATTATGGGCCCTCTTCAAAATAAAGTGGCCAAATAAAAATTATGGGCCCTCTTCAAAATAAAGTGGTCAAATAGAAAGTTATAAGTCCTTTTCAAAACAAAAAGGCCAAACAGAATATTATGGGCCTTCTTTAAAATAAAGTGGGAAAGACTTGAAGTTTAAAAAAAAAAAAAATGTAATCAATGCCTCCTTCTCCAAGTCTCCTTGGACATGGGGCATTGGGGGGCAAATGATGGGTTAAGCCCAAATAGTCCAATTTATGTGTTAAAATCCAACCCCAGTTGAGGAGCCCAACCTAATTTTGATTCCACCAAGTCCAAGACCCAGACCGGTTAGACTTTTTGCTTAGCACGTCACCAAGAGGAAAGCATGGGAAGCTTATCCGCACCACCAAAGGAAACGGTCCAAATCCACCAAGTCCAAGACAGTCCAAGACCGGTTAGACTTTTTGCTTAGCACGTCATCAAGAGGAGAGCATGGGAAGCTTATCCGCACCACCGAAGGAAACGGTCCAATCTTTGACCACGTTTCATGAAGAGCTCCCCAACCTCCTCCTTCCGTTGAGGATAAGTCGTGATCTCCACCAAGAATAATCTCTTAGCTGCGATAAAGAAGCCTTGAGGATAAGTCGTGATCTCCACCAAGAATAATCTCTTAGCTGCTAAAATAGCTCCAATCTGGTAGAAGAGGAAGATGAATGTCACGCCCCACCAAGACTTACAGAGGATGAACCGACTACCGGAGATTACTACTTCTTTGATTCTCCATTCTCTCTCTCAAAGCTTGTATCTCTATTCTCCATACCTTTGAATCAATAAAATACCCGGCAACTGAAACCATTGAAGAGTGGACGTAGGTCGAATTGACCGAACCACTATAAATTGTGTCTTCTTTAATTTTCTCATTGATTTCATTGTATTTATTACATACATTTGACAGGTGGTGTGCAAAACCATTTTTGTGCATCATCAAGTTCTATCATTCTTTTATTTTATATCTAAGTATCTCTAGTAAGCCAAGGCCTGCCCTCCTTTGGTTGGGCACGTGCATGAGGCTTTGTCACTGCTACTGGTGGAGTCAGATGTCCGCAATTTTTCCCCACAAGCAGAGCTTTGGCAAGCAGATCGATAAATTATTGCACTAGTATATCCTCAAAGATCACGGTGTTTATTACTTTTATTCCTGTATGCTATGCAACCTTAGCATATTGAGCTAACTTGTGGTACCTAGATATACTATTCTAATTGATATGTCAAATGGTCAGTGTTGATCTTTCACCATGGTGTTAATACTTCATGTTTATGCAAAAACTAGTTCCTTTGAGGAGTTAGGCGACCAACCCTTTTGGCCTTCTTGAATATGAAATCAATTAGCGAAACAGGTCCAAAAGAACAGTGGTTAAGTGACAGCCTGATGCAAAAAAAAAAAATTAGTTCCATGGAGGAGCTCAAGTTTTTAGCCTGCATGACAACGAAATAGGTCAAGGGATCATTGGAGCGGTGCTGGCGGAGACCTCTGGTGTTTTAGTATGAGGACTGTGATTTGGTAATTGGTAGTGTATAACTACATGTGGAGGAGAGTGCATCTCTTGTTCATGGCGACCTGAGTGGATGAAATTTTGTAATCCTAGCTAACTTTTTGTTGTTTCATAATCATCCTTTTCCAATATTTTTCACCGTTCTTGCTAAGTTGGTGAATTGACACCACTGTAGGGGACTATCTCCCACTTGTATTGGAGACTTTATTTAGCAAGTAGATTGTTGGGTTGAACTTCATTAGGTCTCTGTTTATCTGAGTTGGTAATTCTGCCCCCACATCATTTTTGATTTGTTTCCTCAAATTACATTTTCTGATTTATAAACACATAGTAGTGAGGCTCCATTGCCCACTCAACTGTTCTTTGAGTATGACTTGCTAGTCACATATTGATCAAATGATTATATACATTAATAGAGTGGCTTCCCGATGGACAATATTTCATAACCACGTTATAGTAAGTACTGGTCCAATGGGCAGTCTTATTTAATTAGCATGTACTTTGAGAGCTCCAGTTGCTTTCAATCAGCGTGAAATAAAAATTTAAGTCACATCTCGATTTATCAGCATAACCTATTAAAGTAGCATAAGTTTTTAGAGTAGTTCGTGATTATCATGATATCAAACCCTGCAGTCTTGGGTTTAAACCACACCATCACTACCTCCTTAGTATGTTATACATCTCTTGGATGAAACACCCAATAAGGGTCACAGATGAGGGGAATTATTAAATATGTCTATGCTACAACTCTTCCTATTAGGTTAATCTTTTAGAATAGTTGGTGATTATGTTGCATATTTTTTTAAAAAAGGATCTACTTTCAAATACTGGATGATCGAATCAGAAGTAAAATGAAGAACACCCCTATTTTTATTTTTTTTTTAAAAACCTAGTGCATGTCTCATACCGCCTGACAATCACCATGCTAGTTGTTAGTCTTATTGTTACTCGACTTATGATTAACTCTGAAGTCTTGTGGTTTCAGGAATGGAGTGCAGCAGAGGAGGAACTCATGGCAGGATGGTGTCTGGGGCACCAATTGCCCCATTCCTCCAGGGCGGAACTTCACTTATGTCCTTCAAGTCAAGGATCAGATAGGTAGCTACTTCTATTTTCCCTCCCTTGCCTTCCACAAGGCTGCTGGGGGCTTCGGTGGCATCAAAGTCGCTAGCCGCTCTGTCATTCCTGTTCCATTCCCTCCACCTGCCGGAGATTACACTATTCTTGCTGGCGACTGGTTCAAACAAAACCACACTGTGAATACTCAGTAACTTGATCATTAATTTATGCTTACCTGCATTCATTGTTTGTAACTTCACAACAAAGGAAAGAACTGGTTTCTCTGTCTGGTAAATGCATAGCAGAACATGTGGCTTATCATGTATGTCCACTGACAGGCTCCTCGTGGACTTTTGCAGGATTTAAAATCAATTTTGGACAGTGGGCATGATCTTCCTTCCCCTGATGGGCTACTTATCAATGGGCGTGGATCAAATGGTTACAAGTTCACAGTTGATCAAGGTAATCAACTCAAATCAGCTAATATGGAAGTCAAAACGATTTCAATGTGTGGCATGTGTGGTTATTCTTTCTCAATTTTTCTGAAACTTACTGAGCAGGCAAGACATATAGGTTCAGGATATCAAACGTTGGGCTTACAACCTCCATCAATTTCAGAATCCACGGTCACAAGATTGTGCTGGTTGAGGTAGAAGGGACTCATACACTGCAGAACACATATGATTCCCTAGACATCCATCTGGGGCAATCCTGCTCTGTATTGGTTACAGCTGACCAACCTGAGCAGGATTACTATATAGTTGTCTCAACACGATTTACATCCCAGGTGCTCACAACTACCTCCATTCTTCATTACAGTAACTCTGCAGGAAGTGTTTCTGGTCTTCCCCCTGGTGGCCCAACAACTGAGATTGATTGGTCTCTTAACCAGGCTCGGTCTCTTAGGTACTTTTTCCTTTCATTTCAGAAGTTGTCACTAATTGTGATAAATTTCAAAAACGATCCCATTTCTTGAAATTGGAAATTGATCTTATCACAGATATTAAAAAACCAGCTCACGTAAATTCACTAAAGACCGTTAAAGTATTTCATTCCCATTTTTTTTCATTTCCTGTCTTACTGACAGATTGTTTTGTATCTTGCTGAAACATCATCACACTGAGGGGGGTTTTACTAACATTTTAACAGGCGAAATCTATCAGCAAGTGGACCAAGACCCAATCCCCAGGGCTCTTATCACTATGGTTTGATTAACGTAACCCGTACTATTAGACTTGCAAACTCTGCTCCAATAATCAATGGCAAGCAAAGGTATGCTGTCAATAGTGTGTCATTTATTGCAGCAGACACGCCACTTAAACTTGCTGACTACTTCAAGATTCCTGGGGTTTTCACCCTTGGAAGCATACCATACAACCCCACTGGTGGTGCTGCTTACCTAAAAACCTCTGTCATGGCTGCTGATTTTCGAGGCTATGTTGAGGTTGTCTTTGAGAACTTGGAAGAGGCTGTTCAGTCATGGCATGTTGATGGTCATCACTTCTTTGTTGTGGGGTAAGTTTCTTCCGACAAACTGTTTAAGGATTTGCTATGTCTGTTCAATGCATGTTGCTTTGTGAATTGATTTTCTCTTTTCTATGTTCTTAATCAAGTAAGTGGTGAATTTTCAAATGCATTCTGCAAATTCTTTGATATCTTTCTTAAAATCATGAGTATCCTGAAATGAACAGGATGGCTCGAGGGCAGTGGTTACCTGCAAGCAGATTAAGTTACAACTTACGAGACACAATTTCCCGCTGCACAGTTCAGGTACCCTACCAAAAATTCTCCAAATATCAAGAGTTTCTTTAAACATATTTGATATCTTTTTTCCCATGTAGCTTTTCTTTGTGATAAATTTTCTATAGAGCTTTGAAACCTGCTTATATGAGACACAATTTAATAATTCTTATGATATTCCCATGCATTGCTTTGCCATTCAAATCAACTCACCCTTCCATTCCAAACTTTCTTAAAATGAAATTTTCTTCAATTGAACCCGACATTATTGCCATGTTTGTTATGTATACAGGTCTATCCCAAATCATGGACAGCAGTGTACATGCCTTTGGACAATGTGGGCATGTGGAACATAAGATCTGAGAACTGGGCTCGTCAATACTTAGGTCAACAGTTCTATTTTCGGGTATTTTCCCCTGCAAAGTCATGGAGTGATGAATATCCCATCCCAAGCAATGCTCTTCTCTGTGGACGGGCATTAGGCCATTAGCATTGGTCTCTAAAACAGAACAATCTGCTAACTGTCAAAGAGGGGTGACTGGTTTTATGATATCAACTATGTGATCCAAGTCTCTTGCAGAAGATTTTGACATAGCTATAATTGTATTTTTTTCCCTTTTGGACAATGTCTTGCCTTCATTATCAAAATGGGGATAATATTTCATGGGTTGCTCATCTAATGCAGTTCATGTTAGGTAATGCAGTTCGTGATATAAAGTTTGATTATTCGCTCTAATACTATGTTATTTCTGTAATTTATTCAAACTCCAAATGTCATTAGATCCAATGGTTCTCATGAATATCCTAGTATTAGATCCAATGGTTCTCATGAATATCCTAGTTCCGATGTGATTGACATGTCTTTGATTAGACCTGGGAAGGAATAAGTCAAGGTTATCATTCATTATTGAACAACAACAAAAAAAAAAAAATCCAAACAAAATGTGGATAATAAATGAGAAATCTGTTTTAGGCCTCCCAGCTCCCTCTAACCTCCCTCCCACTCCCACTCTCATGTGCCTTTATGTCCACAAGTTGCTATTGCAAATTGCACACGATTTGTTTCTAGTTATGCACAAAAATGGTTTTGCACACCACCTGTCAAGTGTAGATAATAAATGCAATGAAATCAATGAAAAAATTAAAGAAGACACAATTTATAGTGGTTCGGTCAATTCGACCTACGTCCACTCTTCAATGACTTCAGTTGCCGGATATTTTATTGATTCAAAGGTATGGAGAATGGAGATACAAGCTTTGAGAGAGAGAATGAAGAATCAAAGAAAATAGTAATCTCCGGTAGTCGGTTCGTCTTCTGTAAGTCTCTGATGGAGCGTCATCCTCCTTTCTACCAGCTTGGAGTTATTTTATAGCAGCTAAGAGATCATTATTGTGGAGATCATGACATATCCTCAAGGCTTCTTTATCGCAGCTAAGAGATTATTCTTGGTGGAGATCACGACTTATCCTCAACGGAAGAAGGAGGTTGGGGAGCTCTTCATGAAACGTGGTCAAAGATTGGACCGTTTCCTTCGGTGGTGCAGATAAGCTTCCCGTGCTTTCCTCTTGGTGACGTGCTAAGCAAGAAGTCTAACCGGCCTTGGACTGTCTTGGGCTTGGTGGAATCAAAATGAGGTTGGGCTCCTCAACTGGGGTTGGACTTTAACACGTAAATTGGACTATTTGGGTTTAACCCATCATTTGCCCCCCAATGCCCCATGTCCAAGGAGACTTGGAGAAGGAGGCATTGATTACATTTTTTTTTTTTTCAACTTCAAGTCTTTCCACTTTATTTTGAAGAGGGTGTGGTGGAGGTTGAAGAAAGGGAGGAAGTAGGCACCATTTTGGAGAACTTGGAGGCTGATTTTGAGCATTCGAATGCTGTTTTGGACAGCTTTGGGGCTGTAAATGAAGGGCTGGACAACGAAGGGGAGATGGGCAGCGCGAGGAGTTGTTTGGGCAGTGAAAGAAAATGGCTGGGCGCGCGGCTGCGAAGTGCAGGCGCGCAGCTGGGCAGCGCGCGCGCGCGCGCGCTGGGGGCCTGGGCGGCTGTCTAGGCTCTGCTCCTCCTGTCCTGGACAGCCCAGGCGTGCTGGGCAGCTGCCTGGGCGCTGGCCTTGCTGTCCTGGACAGCCCAGGTGCGTTGGGCAGCAGCCTGGCTGCTTCTGCTGTCCCGGACAGCTTCAGTTCTGCTGCGCTGGGCAGCAGTATTTTTCCATCAAGGGGCGCTGAAAATCAGTACAAGGTTCATCAGGGAGAGCTAGGCAGTGGCCTGAAAGCACGGGTTGATCCGATTCTCACTCGAGGCGCTGATTTGGGCCCCTTAGGTGCTGATTTTTGCGCCAAAAATTCTGCTTTGCGCAATTTTGAAGGGCCACGCACCCTTCAAGCTACTGGACAACTTTGTTTTGACGAGCAACAGCAGTCAGGCACACTTCTAGGCGTTGGGCTAGACATTGCAAGTAGTAAGGAAGCTTTGGGTGCTGCTCTTGATGAGCAAGCCCTTCTCCAAGTGTTGGGCGCCTTGGGTGAGCCTGGGGCTGCCTCGGGAGAGCCTGTTTGTGATGACAAAAATAATGTTATTCCAAACATTAAAATATCTCACATAATTACCTAGAGAGAGAAAAGTAGGCTGTTTGCGCAAGAGCAAAGACAGAGTTGGAGAACTGCTCGTGAGAGAGCTACACTTTTTGAGACCTAGCTTTTGGCGACCCATGAGGGAGTCTTTAAGCTTGAGGTATAAGCTGCCTGTTTGAGAACAGTGCAGAGGCTAAGTTTTTTTGGCGACCCGTGAGAGAGCCGCTAAACTGGAGATAGGCTGCCTGTTTGAAAACAGTGCAGAGGCAAAGTTTTTTGGCGACCCGTGAGAGAGCCGCTAAACTGGCGATAGGCTGTCTGTTTGAGAACAGTGCAGAGGCCAAGTTTTTTGGCGACCCGTGAGAGAGCCGCTAAATTGGCGATAGGCTGCCTGTTTGAGAACAGTGTAGAGGCCAAAATTTTTTTGGCGACCCGTGAGAGAGCCGCTAAGCTGGAGATAGGCTGCATGTTTGAGAACAGTGCAGAGGCTAAGTTTTTTTTTTTTTTTTTTTTGGCGATCCCAAAGAGAGCCGCTAAACTGGAGATAGACTGTCTGTTTGAGAACAGTGCAGAGGCCAAGTTTTTTGGCGACCCGTGAGAGAGCCGCTAAACTGGCGATTGGCTGCCTGTTTGAGAACAGTGCAGAGGCCAAGTTTTTTGGCGACCCGTGAGAGAGCCGCTAAACTGGCGATAGGCTGCCTGTTTGAGAACAGTGCAGAGGCCAAAATTTTTTGGCGACCCGTGAGAGAGCCGCTAAACTGGAGATAGGCTGCCTGTTTGAGAACAGTGCAGAGGCAGGTCAAGTTTCTGGTGATCTGTGAGATGATTCACCTTGCCTAAACTTGTTGATTTCCTCAGCATTCATATATCTTTGAGCTTTTGTGAATAGTTCTGGCATGCTCTTTGGTGGTTGCTTTATTACTGAAAAAAGGAATCTGGATGAGCAGAGGCCTCCCAGGAAGGCAGTCATGGCGACTTTGTCATTGGGTTCCTCGATTTGGAGGACTTCCTCGTTAAAACGAGTGAGGTAACTCCTTAGACTCTCATTACGATCCTGTTTTATGCTGAGCAGATGGAAGACAGGCTGCTGCTGGCGGCGTCCACCAATGAATTGTGTCACAAAGGATCTGCTCAGTTCGGCGAAGGAGCCTATGGAGGCCGGGGTGAGTTTGATGAACCATTGTCACGCTGATCCCTTCAAGGTAATTGGGAATGTCTTACACATAATTTCGTCGGGGACGCTGTGTAGTTGCATCATGGTCTTAAAAGTTTCGAGGTGATCAAGTGGGTTCTTCGTACCGTCAAAGGTTTCAACGGATGACATTTTAAACTTCTTGGAAAGTGGGTAGTTCGTTACGTTAGGTACGAAGGGTGTGTTGGTTCGACTTACGAGGCAGTCCACTGTCTCGGGTCTCTGTGCTTTCATAGTGTTGAAAATGTCGTCTAGTTGATTTTGTACCTCTTTTATTTTTTCGTCCCAGTGGTTGGGAGCTCCTTTGAAATTATCTTGGAAATGACTTCCATGCTCCATGCTCTGGTTCTCACCCTTGTCCTCTTGGAAAAGAAAACCCCCACCATGAGAAAAGGGAGCTGGAAGAGGAGGTGGAGGTCCCCTGTGGGGAGCTCCCCTATGAAGGGCACCCAAGGGAACTCCAAAGGGGGCGCCCAAATAGGGAACAACAAGTTGTGGAGCTACTTGATGTGCAGGGCGTGGAGCTCTTTGATGTGCAGGGCGTGGAGCTCCTTGGGGTGCTCCATGTTGTGCACCTCCGTCAACAAGTTGTGGAGCTGCTTGATGTGCAAGGTGTGGAGCTCTTTTATGTCCAGGACGCAGAGCTCCTTGGGGTGCTCCATGTTGTGCACCTCCATGGGGCCCTCCATATTGTGCACCTCCGTCAACAAGTTGTGGAGCTGCTTGATGTGCAAGGTGTGGAGCTCTTTTATGTCTAGGACGTGGAGCTTCTTGGGGTGCTCCATGTTGTGCACCTCCGTGAGGCCCTCCATGTTGTGCATCTCCGTGTTGTGCTCCTCCTTGGGGTCCTCCATATTGTGCACCTCCAAGTGGTGCTCCTCCTTGTCCAGCAAGTATGAGTTGCAGTAACTGTTGGTTTTGAGCAACCAGTTGTTGCATGGTCTTCAATATTTGTTGGGGATTCGGGGCTAGAGTATCCGGAACAGGGTTGATAGGCGGGGGAGCAACCTCCTCCTCTCGTGGAGGATTGTCTTCATGTTGGTTCATGGATCGAGTAGTGATCGCCATTAGTTAATGGATGTAATGTTCAGGAGTGAGAATTTTGTCGATTCCCACAGACGGCGCCAAACTGATGATGCACAAAAATGGTTTTGCACACCACCTGTCAAGTGTAAATAATAAATGCAATGAAATCAATGAAAAAATTAAAGAAGACACAATTTATAGTGGTTCGGTCAATTCGACCTACGTCCACTCTTCAATGGCTTCAGTTGCCGGGTATTTTATTGATTCAAAGGTATGGAGAATGGAGATACAAGCTTTGAGAGAGAGAATGGAGAATCAAAGAAAATAGTAATCTCCGGTAGTCGGTTCGTCTTCTGTAAGTCTCTGATGGAGCGTCATCCTCCTTTCTACTAGCTTGGAGCTATTTTATAGCAGCTAAGAGATCATTCTTGTGGAGATCATGACATATCCTCAAGGCTTCTTTATCGCAGCTAAGAGATTATTCTTGGTGGAGATCACGACTTATCCTCAACGGAAGGAGGAGGTTGGGGAGCTCTTCATGAAACGTGGTCAAAGATTGGACCGTTTCCTTCGGTGGTGCAGATAAGCTTCCCGTGCTCTCCTCTTGGTGACGTGCTAAGTAAGAAGTCTAACCGGCCTTGGACTGTCTTGGACTTGGTGGATTTGGACCGTTTCCTTTGGCGGTGCAGATAAGCTTCCCGTGCTCTCCTCTTGATGACGTGCTAAGCAAGAAGTCTAACCGGCCTTGGACTGTCTTGGACTTGGTGGATTTGGACCGTTTCCTTTGGCGGTGCAGATAAGCTTCCCGTGCTCTCCTCTTGATGACGTGCTAAGCAAGAAGTCTAACCGGCCTTGGACTGTCTTGGACTGGTGGATTTGGACCGTTTCCTTTGGCGGTGCAGATAAGCTTCCCATGCTTTCCTCTTGGTGACGTGCTAAGCAAAAAGTCTAACCGTCTTGGACTGTCTTGGGCTTGGTGGAATCAAAATGAGGTTGGGCTCCTCAACTGGG